TCTCCAGAAAAAAAATTAAACGTAAAATAAAAACGAAGACATAATCTATTTAGATCACAGAACATAACAATTTTATTTAGATTTATTATCGTTTGCTTTTTAAAATAAAACGGTAGAAATTCCAGCTTATATCTCGCACACAATTAAATAATAAATAAATCACTCAAGTTTGAGCTAAAGGCACTCAAATATTGCTTAATAAATACCACTCAAGTTTGAGTTAATGCAAAGCAAGAATTTCGCTAAAATAAGAATGTATTTCAGTCAGGTTGAGTTAAAAAAATTTAACTCTTTTTTGAGTAGGGGAAATAACTCTTTCATTTTAAGAGAGCAGTTACTTAATACAGTTATAGAACGAAACTCACAAATAAATACTACATATATTGACTACATATGATTTTTAAATAATTGAATATCAGTTTTTGATCAATGATAGATTTGTACTACAAAATATATAATTTGTTTCGTCCACTGGAGATGGAAATTGTCAGTAAATTGTGTTTGTTAAAATATCATAAATCTCACAATCTCTTGCGTTAAACTTTCACCATATTAGTTATAGCTGCCCTTTGTAGTGAATGCTTAGTTTTTATAAAAAATAATACATCATAACAAAAAAAAAAGAGTTTCGGTAAATAAAAGAAAAATAATTTTGGATTTATCAATAAGAAAAGGCAAGGAACGTTAAAGCTCCGATCTGTTACCCAAATGTTAATTTTTATAATATTAGTGCATGCGAGCCGAAGTCCTTTGTGAAAAATACCTTATATTAGTATTTAACTAACAAAAATATTAAAAATAAAATTTGCAATTTCATATCAAGGCTGTTTGAGTTAAGAATATGCTAGAGTTTTGTTGTTTCTCTACTGTTAATTTGTATTTTTAATGTATGCCCCACACAGCTAATTTCTTTTGCGGAAAAGGCCTTATATTGCAGTATAATTAAATAAAAGCATTAAAAGTAAAACCTATACATAATAGCAATGTTGAATATTTTTTTCTTAAGTTTGGTCAAAAATCTTATATTCGTGTAAAATCTAAAAAAAAAGGAATTTCAATTTTTAATATTTGATCTATATGCTTAAAAAATGAAAACTTTCAAAATTTTAACTTTATCGAAACATTAATAAAAAGTCCATACTAGTTTAATTCTGTGTCAATTAACATTATATGTTAAGAGGTCAATGAGCTACTATTTCTTCCTTTTACACTCTCTTAGAAATGCAGCGCTAGCAATAAGAAAAATAGATAAGAAAAATAGTAATAAGAAAAAAAGATAAATAGTAAGATAAAAATATCCGAATTAAAGCTTAAAAAATACTAATTATTAAATATTTAAATACTATTCACTAAACACTATAAATAATATATACTTACTAAATACTATAAATACTGTTACTAAATACTAAATTATTGAAATACTATTTATTAAATATTATATCTTGATAATCAAAAAATAAAAAAAATTCTAAGTTTTAAATAAATCGATACATTAAGAAAAATAATTCAATTCCATAGAGAAAAAAATTTATTAAATTAATTCTGGAGCAATTTACATTAAAAGTTAAGAGTTCAAAGAACAACTAATTCTTTCTTTCACACTCTCTTCGAAATGTAGTACTAGCAATAAAAGGAAAGAAATGATAGGTCGTAAGATAAAACCATCCCAATTAAATATGAAAAATAATGCTCGCAATTTTTTATATTTTTAAATTTTAAAACTAGTATTATGCTAGAAATCCTAACATGATTTCATTCTCAGATTGCATGCAGGAAACACTCGATCATAAAAATTTAAAAATAGGAAATTTGAAAGGCTGCCGTAATTGGTTTATCAAAAGAAAAAATGCTTTCTCTCTTAATGTTCAAACAATTTATAAATTTTACGTTGTTTTGAACAGGGAACCAACAAATTGTAAATTGAATTAGCAATTGAAAAGTAAAGGAAAAAAAGTTATTTAAACTTTAGAAATTTGCACAAAGTACGAACCGGTGACTAGCATTTTTTTCTTACTTTATGTTTCTTACATAAAAGCATTCGATTTCTTTCTCCAACACAAATGCATATCTAAAAAGGAGAAAATGTTTTTTCGAAAAATGTTTTCTAAAAACTAAGAATAAAAGCGAGAAAACTTCTTTCTATTTTTTTCAATAGTTAAAAATTAGAAGAATATTTTATGAATCCATTTTTTTTATTTCCATTTCTAAAGATAAGTGCTGTTTTAAGTAGCTTAAAAAACCTTATGACCCTCCATTATTTTTCTGGTTTTCCACTAACATCGCTCATCAATATAATGCGGCATTCCATTTACATAAAGAGAGGAAAAGTAAAAAAGCTTAACACGGAAATCAATATTTCTTATTTTGACATATATAGCACAAATAAGGCATATTTTTTGTACACTGCAACACGACCGTAAAGAATAACTCACACTGCTATTGGCTGGTATCATCTAGATAAAAAAAAATAAATAAACATCTAGAGTGATTAAAGGTTTCCGATAGTACTCTCGGTTTTTTGTTCCGAAGATGATGGTTTTCTCTTAAAATCTTACTCATCTTTATGGATAGAGAAGTCTTAGTTCTTTCCCTGTTTAGAAAAGTTTTCTATAATAGTATGGTATATTCCTGCTGGGAGAATTAATGATGGAGAATTGTGTTTTTAATAACCTTCCTTAAGTTAAATTTGGTGAAATAATTGTGAATTAAGTTAATAGGGATGAAATTGTTAATGTTTTACTTCATATGTTGCTTCAGTTAACTGTAATGTAGGTGAAAAAAAAAGTTTTTAATCACTCAAATGAGTATTTTTTGAGACATGATGTGATGAAAGGTAATTAAGCAGAAATTTTTATTACCGTTTACAGAATTCTTTCTATTGCAATATACGGCTGAAAAATTTTAATTGAACATTTTTTTAAAGAGAGCATTATATTTTCACGAAATATTATTTTTACAACCTAAAGTTTAGCATTTTTAAATAGTTTAGATTATTTCTTACTATTAATATTTTTCATTTATGTCATTGGGATATATTTTTTTAAGTAATACTTTCTTTTTACTATTTATTATTTTTTGAACATTACGTTAAGACATTGAAGTCAAATAAAATGTAATTATTGTATATTGTGCCCAAATACGATATTATAGTTCATAAAACTCATCCATACTAAGTAGCTTAATTATTTATGATTTTTCTGAAATAAATTAAGTAAAATCTGTTTTTTTATTTAAATAATTAAATGATCTAACTCATTAATGGATTCTTATAAATATGCAATAGACATTAAAAGATTTCGAAAAAAATAACCATTACAGATATTTTAACAGAGAGGGGTTTTTAAAGCACTATAAATCAAATGTCAAAGTTAGCTTTTTTATATTTTTGTTTATCTGCAGATTAAAAACAACTTTTTTAATGATACAAAATTTTATTGTTTGTTTATATGCTATTTTTGAGATTGATAGATGCCGTTTTTGATATTGATTACAGATTATCAAATCAATTAATTTGAAAAGAAATGTCAATCAAGAACTCCATAAAAGGCAACAAAAGGCTTTTTTTAGATTAAAAAATAATTGCAGATGAAATGAAAGGAATTTAAATAAAACTAGTAAACTTATTAAATCTAAGCCCCACAGGAATATTTATTTTTTTAAAAAATAAAACTGCATAAAAATCATATTTCTTGTTATCAATAGCATACTGGGCAATTAAAGATCCCTTTCACCCATAAAAAGTGCTCAACTTCCTTCATTTTATCCTTTTGAGAATTCTTCGATCTCAAAATCTTTATTTATTCAATTACGAATGAATATTTTTGAGTACCTTTCATTTAGTTTTATTCATTGCTATGGGACATAGTTACCGAATGTAAAATTTCAGGCTTTCAAGCATTTCTTAACGTTTGCAAACTTCTTGTATTGAAAATGCTTACAACCTCAAAGTTTAGAAAATAGATTTAATCCGGAAAAATTCAAGATCAGAACAGAACAAGAATTGTTCAAAAAAAATATTTGTTCCGAAATAAATAAAAGAAGAGTATTTTTAAGCATCCCGTGGGTTAATTCTGAGGAAGTATAATCCGTTTACAACTTGAAGGTTACTATAAAGTAAAAATTAATAGAAAGACCCAAGTAGTAATGATTTTAAAAATTACACCGAGGAAAAATGTGCGGTAACAGACTACCATAATAGTATTAAACATGAATTATGCAAAATTTGCTGTGTTTCTGGCTTTAAGGGAACACCAAAAAGCTCAGATTATTTTTAACTGAGTGCTTTGTTAATGATTTGGGTAAAATAAACTATTAAAAAATTATGGTTTATAATATGTAATAAAATTTAGTGATCGTAGTAAAATTAGGTAGTTTTATCACGATAATTTAGAGCATAGCATAAAAATATTGATTCGATTAAATTTAGATTTTAATTTCGTATTTTTTACTAAATGTGCAAATAAGAACTATAATTTCTCGAACTAAAATTTCCAGTAAACCGGTAACATATGAACGAAAAAATCCAAATGAATTTGCTTAAATACAGTATATTTTGGTTATATTAATCAAAATTATGTTTTCGGTTTTACCTAAAATATCATTACCATACGATGAGGCAATGTTATTAAATTATTTTCATTGTGTACAAATCGAAAAATTGTGCAATATCATACAATATTATTACACATGAATCAGGTTATTGAGAACATACAGTTATGATTTAAAAAAATGCCAAAATTTCCCAAGTAATGAACATTGATTTTTTAAAAAAAATTCAATTTAGTTAACACTTATTTAACGATTACACTTTAAACATTATGCTAAATATTTGCTTGCAAGATGACTTGTAGGGATTTTTTTTTACTCAATGAAGCATGAATATAGCACTACCAACATTTAAGCAACACTTTATTCAATTTGTATAAGATATCGGAAAGATATTATTTTTGATATTGATAACAGATTAGCCAATCAATCAAGTCGACAAGAATATAGCTCACCAAGAACTCCAAGAAAGACGTCGACAGAAGCTTTGATCCCTTCATCATTTTCCACCTGACAGCGGTACTTTCCAGCATCCTCCACAGCATCCAGACCTTGGATGAGCAAAGTTCCATTAGTGAATACCTTCTGGCGTCTTCCCAGGGGAAGTTGACGGTTGCCTACAGACACAAAAGCAAAGCAGAAATCACCGCCATATTCCTTTTTACTATCATTGATGATTGATGGGATCGGTGGAATAAATGTTTCGTCCCCTCGGGTGCCTACATTCTTTCTTCGAACATTTTTGAACAAATCTGATGACAATGAGTATGCCTCCAAAATGATTCCGTCGAAGTTATCTTTGCTAATGGATTTATTGCAATATTCAAAAAATTCTTAAAAAGAATAAAATTGTATAATTTTTTTTTGTATTTTGAATTTTAATTATCTTAAATGTTTTTTGTAATCAGTTTTGCTCAAATTATTTAATTGAATTTATTAAATGTTTTGTTCCCTTCGGACTCTAAAACTATTTTTTCAAAAATTTTTGAACAAATCTGTTTATATTAATTGATTAAAAACATCATTTTCCAAAAAAATTTACAAATTGGAAATAAAAGTTGACAAGTTTCAGGCGCTCAAAACACGCACCCTTCTTCTAGACTTGCCAGACGTGAATGACGGCAGTTACAATTCACGTCCGGAAAACCTTGAAGATGGGCATCTGTTTTTAAGAGCGTGACACTTGTCAAATGTTATTTCCAATTTTTATATTTTTTAAGCGAATGAAGTCTTAATCAAGTAATTTCTTACCGATTTAATTTCTTCGGATTATTCATTCAAATCTATTTATAGTAAGTTTGACTCAAAAATAATTTGTTTCTGAAACATTTTATCTCAAAAGAAGTCATTTCATGTTACAAAAAAATCCTTAATAATAAATTTTTCAGTAAGTTTATGGCGATATCCTTTTCAAATTTTTAGTTAACATTGTTATTTATTGTAAACAGATTTAATTACATTGTTGAACGCAATTAATTTAAAATTTCGTTCCCTCTGGTGCCGAGATTATTTTTGATGCATTTTTGAACAAATAGGAGGATAAAAAGTTTACCTTGAAAAAAAAAATTCTTCCGTTTAAGCTATTATCAGATTTTTGGGCATAAGCTTTTATAAATTTTAGACTATAGTTTTTTATTTAAATTATATTTTATTGAGTTTAATGAACGTTTTTGTTCCTATTGGTCTCTTAAATTATTTATTCGAACTATATTGTACAAATCTGTTTATAGTAAGTTTGCCTCAAATATGATTCCTTTTTTCAAGTTTGCATTTCTAAAAAAATCGTCGCATGCTATGAAAATTTTTTTGAAAATAATTTTTCCATTTTATGATTATACCATTTTTAATTATTTAGACAGTATTATTATATTAAGAAAACAGATTTAATTATATTGCTGAAATCAATTAATTTAAAATGTCATTCTATCTGGAACCGAGGTTCTTCTTGATGTATTTTTTCAACAATTATGTGGAAAATAATTTTTAGGTTTAAGCTAGGTTTAGGTTAAGATTCTTTGCATTATTCATTCAGAGAAATATGAGCACTTGTGTATTTCTTTTTTAAATTTCATAAAAATTTTATTTTTTAAAAGACGTTTTAATCGGGGAATTTAATTAAACTAACTAAATACCTTATACCCTCAGGTAACAAAATATTTCCTTCAATTATTTTCTAACAAATCTAATCATAATAAGAATGCCAAAAATTGTTCTTTCGTTAATGTTTTCCATGAAGAATTCAATATATTAACCTGACATTTTCTTAAAGGACGTATTATCACGCATTATATTTCCTTAAAAGACAAGTTATGTGCACTTTTTAAAATTTTATTCAACTTTTATTAGCAAACTAAACAGTCTACAAATAATTTATTGAACCTTAGGGTTTATTTGAAGCATATGAATTCATATTGAAATAGAATTTTTTAACATGGAAAATTTTCTTTTGAAAGTGTTACAAACGCAATAATTGACAATTTTTATTTTTTATTTTATCCAGATATATAGAAATAATTCAAGATTATAGTACTTATTTATGTTGAAAAAAAAAACAGTTTTAGATGAAAAAAATAATCAAAATTTTTTCCTTTTCTAATTTGCACGTCTAAGATCACGTTCTAAAACTCTTTTGAACTGTTTTCAAGTGATCTGAAGAAAAATAATGACTTGATGGAGTGGTATATAATAATTTATTGATTCTATAACAATTTTGAAACGTAATTTTCTCAAAATCGTATATGAAAATTAATAACATGCAAAATTAGTTAATTTGTTTTCAAGATCCCTTATGTAGCACTTTCATTGGCGGGAATTACGTAAAACATCAAAAAACTAGTAGTTTAAAAAAGTTTACAGTTAAAAATAAAGTGAGAGTGATCATTATGAGTAAAAACTATGAGAAAGATCGAAATCTAAATGGTTTGAAAATTACAATTGAATTAAAGAGAATTATATATTTGGAAGTGATTTACGTCTTTACACACTTTCAACAGTTCCAAAATTCAAATTATCCTATTTAAATTTGTTTTTGAGTTTTGATGTCCTTTTCATCAGAGCTATGATAATTAAAAATATCTTGAATATCACAATTGTTTCCGGGATGCTTTTTAATACATATGATGCTATACTGTAATAAATTCCGAATCAAATTACGGTACAAAGTACCGGCACTTTGGGTGCCTCATGCATAAAATCGATTCATCGTGTAATTTAAGGTACCACAATTTTTACAGTAATATTTATTTAATTTGAGAGAATCTATTATATTCCGGTAATTATTACTGTAAAAACTACGGCATTTCAGATTTTTCGTTCGGTAACCTATTCCAGAAAAATGGGTCAATACCAAAAAGTACTGGTACCTTAAGTGTCGGTACTTTCAACTATAATTTGACCTGGAATGTTTTACAGTGAGATTTAAAAAAAGTTGAAAATGTATTTTTCTTAAACTAAATGTTTAAGTAATTTTTTTGAGATAACCGGAAAATATCCGCTATTTATCAATAGCAAGGATGCGTAAAATTGCAAATAATACTAAATATTCCAAAAAAATGGAAATATTTCAAATGAAAGATGTAAATAAAAAGCAAAGGAAAAATAATAAATAAAATAATTTTTGTAAGTTAATTATAATTAAATTTATGGTTTATTTACCTTTCATCCAACGGATAGACTGAATTGGATAGCCGGAAACTGGGCAGTGCACAATTAAGATATCTCCTGCAACTGCAGTTCTGTTTCTGATTGGTCGTATAGAAGGTGGTCCTTTTACATGAACTATTGATGAAAAAGAGTCTACACCATATTCATTTATAGCACGACATTCATACTGTCCACCATCAGAAACTTCAACTCTACAATTGATTTTGAAATTTATTAAATTTTAGAATTGAAATTTTTTAAATTTAATAATAATAAATTTGGTAAAAAAGAACAAGAATACACACTTATTATTTTTAGATTTTTTTTGTTTGTTTCGAGGCTCAGTCGAAAAGTAAAAAGTATCATTAACAAGTTAAAAAAATGATATTAGCTGCGAGTTATAGAAATACATATTTTGGTATTAAACAAAATTATTATAACGCAAAATAAAAATTCTAACAAAAGCTAATTTGGAACTATAATGCAATATTTCTTTTTTAAATTATAAATATACGCTTAATAATCAGATTCAATAGTTAATATTAAAGAAGATCTCAAAATAAATGTGAAAATATTAAGACTAATAATTCTTTTTACAACTACTTACTAAAATCGAAACCTTACAAATATTTTGACTGACACACACTCATTAACAATCAACATTCAAAGCATAATAGCTCTTTTCAAATCTCCTACTCTAACAAAGGAAGCCTAACATGCTCAATAGAAGGAGAGAGAAAAACGTTGACGTAGATGTTTTCGTCTTTTTCCATATTGTGTACATCTTTTAGTAGGTGCTATAGAAAATGAAAGTATTCATTTTATGTTTTTGTTGTTTCATTATTATTCTCAATTAATGTAATTATGTTATTTGTGAAAAGTCATTTTTCAGTATTTTCTCATTGTTACATAGCTTTGTTAAACTACTCACACTCACTAAGTTACTTACAATAATTTTACACCAATAAATCAGGCGGCTCATTGTATTTATTTCAACTTAATTTGGTATAGAATTTCTTTTGGTCTATCAAGTAAAAATATTAGTAAATGTACATTACTCTAAGGAGAATTTATAAAAGCATTACGCAAGTTTTAAGCCTGAAAAAGTGTTTACAAGTGTTATCCTTTTTAATTATTTTTATTATTAAAATAAGGCACATGCTAGTGATGATATTTTAATAATCAAAGAAAGTGAGCAAATGCATTTTTACATACATTTTTAGATTATGCATTTCTACATACATATATTAAAAACTTTTACGTTATGATGATAAATGTAATTTAAAGAAGATATTAACAGCATTTAGGATAATATCTACTAAATATAGTTTCGCAAATAGCTCTAATTTCCATATTTATGTTTCAATCAACACCCAGAACAACAAATCACTTAATAAAGTGTATCGAGTTAAATATTATTGAAGCAATTGCGAGTAAACAGATATTACTTACCTGGTAATGTTTATGAAACTAATAACATGGCCTTCTCGACTAACGTAATCCCCAACACGAATTCTGATCGTATCTTGAACTGGAAAATCATATGAATACCAAGTTATTTGAGGAAGTGGATTGCCAACAGCAGAGCAGCGAAGAGATATGGATTCCCCTGGTTTTACAATAAGCTCTTCAAACTTACTCAGTAGAACTGGAGGCTCAGCTAAATGAAAGAAATAAAATGACGGACAATAAATTATCTGCATAAAATGATTGTGAAAATAATTTAATTAACTTGTAATGTTACAGATCAGCAGAAACCATATATCAGCAGGAAATATGCTTTATAAATTCAAATCTTTAACTTTGTCCGTTTGAATAATTGATTTTTAGAATACTGTAAGAAATCCGGAATAATTCTATGGTTAAAAGTGCTAGCACCCTGAGTGCTGCATCCGTAAAATCCATTTCTTTGTAAAATATATTTTGACTATAAAGTTTTACGACATACATTATTTTTTTTTATTACAGTGATCTTACTGTAAATATTACTGTATGAAAAATACAGTGTATCAGATTATTTATTCTTTCAAATTTTGCGTTAAAAAGTTGATTGTAAGGTAATAAGTACTGGCACCCAGAGAACCGGTGCTTTTTACTGTAATTTGATCCGGAACTGTTTACAGTGTAGTTCGTCCATATGTGCACTGTTAGAAGTTTTTCTTAGAAAAAAAAGTATGGTAAAAATTGCAAAAAAAGGTCAAAATCTGTCAAACTGTTACCGTGCCTGTGACTGCAAGGAAGCACCAAAAATTTTGGTAATATTTACAGAAGCGTTTAGCAATGATTTCAATGGTTTTAGTAAAATTAATAATAAAATGAGGTTTTATAATATGAGATAAAATTCAGTAAATGTGGTGAAATTTGGTAAATTTATCATTCCACCTTGGAGAATGGCATAAAAACATTTATTTGGTTAAAAAAACTTTTCAGTTTTGTGTTTTATACTAAATTTATGGTAACAAGAATTATAATTTTTAAGACCGGAAATTGCGAAAGATCAGTACCATATTAACGGAAAAATTAAGGAACGAAGAGTTAAAATACGCATATTTTGTTTTTATTAACCACACATTTTAACATAGTTTTTATTTTGTTTTATTAGCATAAATGTCATAAACATTCAGCACGATAATTTTGCCAGAATATTTTCTCAGTCTTGTAGCGTGATGAAATATAATTTTGTTGAAATTCGCTGCTTCCTTCATATTGCTCTAAATTAATGCTGAATAATACTTAAATGTAAAAGGAAGCATTATGTTCAAAAATATTTTAATGGTGCCACCAATTTACTCTGTATTATGAATTAAAGTTCTGATATTATGATTTGTCAATGATATAATTTTTCTGAGTGTGTATGTTATTGTTACTGCGTTAAAGAGGTTACTATACATTATATGTTCAGGCCTCTATCAACTTTTACTCTGTATTTATTTTATTTCATTTATTTATTATTTACTTTTTTAAATTTATTAAATAAAAAATTAAATGAATTAAAATTTTAAAAATAAATTAAGAAACAATTTAAAAAATAATAGAATTTCCTTGCACCCCGCTAACCAAAAAGAAATGTATTAGGAATAATTACGTAAGAATGAAATACAAGTTTACGCATGCGTAGCTATTATATATATAAAATTTAGTTTACTAAATAAAGCAAAATTTTCTTATTTTAATTAAAATATCCATTCTTATTAGTTATTATTTAAAATAAATATCAATTCAAATGAGCTAAGATGATTTCGAGTTAACTATAATAACTGGTTATACAAATACTTTTAATTGAGTGTGATCAGCTACAATAGAAAACGCGATGGTTTTTAATAAATTTTATAGTTCTTTTGATAGTATGCAGAATAATCTGCACAAATTATGAATAGTCAATAATATAAAGTTGCAGTATTTTATTAAAGCATTTTCGTTAGTAAACACAAAAATCAGCTATATTTGATATTCATACTAGCAAATTTATAATCTTAACACGCATCTGTTTCTTCATGCGCTGTGTGAGTAAATAAACAGTTTATGCTCAAATCGTGCACAAACAGTTTATTCGTGGTGTTTAGTATACTATAGTGGGCATAAAAAGAATCAGGATTAATGTTTTATGTCAGAAAAATTAGCTTCCAGTTTTACATACCCTTACATAAGCCTTATTTTGACCTCAAATTTCACATGATTAAATTTAATGTGATGTAGACAAAAAAAATTAGTTTACTTGATTAGATCAGAAATGGGATACCTGCAAGTGACATAGTGAGGGTATCTCGATCATGATTAGCTATTGAAACAGGACATTTGCTTACGTTAGCAACTGTTTTTTTCCATTATGTTTCGAGTAAGCCAATCCCGTCAAGTATCACTTCTCTTAAATGACGCATTCTATATTCTTTCACAGTGATTTTAAACATATATTTTTTACTTTTTACTTAACACAACGACAAGGACGAAGTAAGCCATGTGGAACATCAAAAAACTTAGAATGCATCGGAGCTGCCAGGCTCACAAAACAAAAATATATCACGTTTACAATAAAACGAATAAATAAATAAATCGAAGTTTAAAAGACATAGACAAGAGAGAATTATATTTCAACAAATTTGATTAGCAATATGGAGATGTATTTAACAAGTTTCATGTTAATTAACATTCTAACTTATGTGCAGAAACTTAACTCTACTTTAACACGCCATCTTGTTTATAAACAATCTAATGGCGCTGAGGTCATGGTAATGTTTCTATGTTTCAGTGATCGTCTTCTTCTACAGCTGCAAATACCCAATTACATGCTAGCATCCGAATAGGACAACCTGGATTTGAATTTTAACGATGACTAGTTGATTTTCAAAATTCATTTTGCACAGATCAGAGCGTTTATGCTCAGATCAGAGAGTTACGCAAAATATCCCCTTAGATTAGGGATTCGAGTTTTTTGGTCATTGGGTGTACTGTGAGAGGTGTCAAGTTTTGTCATTCACGTAATGCAATAAGTGTGGGTTACTTTGCAAAGTACTTGTTAAGTTTATTTGAATGATTTAGCTCTTTGTTTCTTTGCCTTCTGAGTTTGGTTCACAAGTCGCTCATTTCATGTAAATAGGTTGTTCAAAGCGTATTACATAAGTTTTTTTATTCTATTCTAATTTAATTATTTGTTTTAAATTTTGAATATTTTGTCAGATAAAACAAGTTATTAATTAATGATTTTGTTACGAAAAATGCGATTTAATAACCTATATTTAATAATTTTACTAATACTTCATATTTTGTATATTACTCAAAGAAAACACAATTATTCAAATTAAAAATGAAATAACTTAAAAGTCATAAATTAAAGAAATTAGGGATTATACTTCTTTGCAGTTTTTCTAAATGAATTTATGTTCAGACATTATAAATTTAATTTTAAGTCCTTATAACGATTTTATTTTGTCGCGAGCTTAGGTAATCTTTTCATTGGTAAGAAAAATAAACTATACGTGCATTTAATTATTTCTAAATATGAAATAAATAACATAAGAAATGAAATAAAATGTGATAAATAACTTAATCATCGATACATTTTTAAGCAGCGATTTAAAATTGATCGAATATTTGCAAATTTAAATATAAAAAGTAATTAAACATAATTAAATTTACACGTTTTGAAATAAAATGTTATACGCATTAAAGAGCATTTTGAAAAACTTAGATTGTAATCTTAGTAAATTTAGATTAATAAACTTGGATTATAAAAATTCAGATTGTAATTAGCAAAGTGTTAGACAATTATTTGATTAATTTTATGCAAATTACTACAAAGAAAACAGTTAACAAAAAGTTGAATAAATAACAGCATAAACACGACCACCTGAAGCTATTTGCATTGTTATTCTATCTCCCGTTCATTCGGCTCACTTCATTGATTTTAATGCTACGTTAGGAAACTGTGGCCTAATTAAGTTGGTATTAACAATAATTCTGTTTGCAGAAAATGAGTTGTTAAGTTACTTAAGTGTAATTAGCTCTTTAGCAAAGGAATAAATTATTTAAAATTGGTAGCTGAAAAGCTATATAATGCACTTAATGGTAATGTTTTAAAGCTAATCTTTAGAGGTTACTGTGCATAAAAGACAGTAGCTTTCGAAATTTATTTGATAATATCTAATTATAAGATTCATTTCAATCTTATAATATTTATAGCTGCGAAATTATGTGCATATATACATAAGCTGACATAAAACGAGACCTCTTTTGTGATCTGAGTACGATAAAAGTATATCTTCAGACTGTTTCTTGCTGCTCAAATTTCACGAAGAAAGAAATTATGGTAAAATTACAGCACTATATGACAAAGACATTTCTGGTAAAAAAAAACATTGTAATTCTAGTCATTAAAACCAAAATATGTGGTATTTAAACCATTCTTTTTGCTCTTTTTCCGCTTCTATGGTAACGATTCATTGGTTCTGGTTTTCAAAATTCATTATTGTTTTGAACATTTCAAAATAATACTAAATGCATAAAATTAAAATACATTATTATTTTATGTATTTAGTTTTATATTTTACCTATATGTAGTAAAAATATGAAACTAAAAATGTAAATTTAACCGAATAAATGATTTTTATGTCCCGCTTTAAAGTTTCGCGATGAAATTACCAAATTTTATCATATTTAACAAATTTTATCACACATTATAAAACTATACTTTAGTGATAGTTTTAGCAAAATTATGACCAAGGTGTTTAGATAAAAATCATCGAGATTTTTTTTGCTCTTATAGAGCCAGAAGCACAGTAAATCTAATTATATTCTCGTAGATTTGACCATATTTTTTTCTTAGTTTGGAGAAACTCAACTATATCAGATTTCACCTAAATTTTATAATTTAAGAGAGGTTTCTGTTTGCCCTTTTACATCATTTTAATGAAACCTGTAAAAATTTTTTACACTTTTCTAAAGCGTAAATTCTAAAGAAAAAAAGAGAAAAAAGTTGGATCAAATCTTCGTACTTAAAATGTTTATTTTTTCCGTAAACTGGCAAAAACTATAAAAAAAGGAATAAAACTATTTAAATGTCTATTTGAATAATAAATTTGCCCTTCAGGTTAAAAATAAATATAATTGTGCTCAAAAGAATTAAATTAATAAAATTAAATTAAATTATATNATATATATATATAT